CAGTAGCCATAACATATATACTAAGTAGTATCCATATAGGAGAGGAGTAGTATAATACTATATGTTATATATATCAGGTATATAGTAGGGTGAGCTCGCGAGATGTGCGTGTGTGTGGTGATATATATATCTATATAATATAATATATACTATACTATTATATAATTATAGTATTCATTATATATGATTACGTATTGGCGGTACCATATGTGTGTGTGGGTTGTGTCTGTATGTGTGTGCATAAGTATACCTAGTACACATATATGATTATCCTATAATTTCTAGCTCGGTGACGGTAGGGTGAAGCGTGGGCAGCCTGAAGAAACCGCCCGACAGAGCAGAATCAGGCAGAGGGTCCGCACCGGAGGCGATGGCGCCTGCACGCGCAGGTACAGTTCGGGGTCCCGCGAGCCTCGTCTGCCTCCGCCTCGCGCTCGCCTGGCCGTCCTTGCCGGACTCGCAGCAGCAACTGCACGGCCGTTGGTGTGCGGGCGTGAGAGTGTTGTATCTTATCTGTTTTAGCTATCGTCATCTCGCTGCATTGCTGTACGGGATTGCAGCTACCTGTTTATTTACTCCGAGCGTGTATTACTTCGTAGGAATGCCGTTCGATTTTTAGATCGGTTATATTCGTTTGTTCACAGTATTTTGATTTAGGGCTGTATTTTAATGCTTTATCTATGTACCCTCAATAATTTCTTCATCTATAGGCCAAAGTCGCGTAGGTTCTTTATATACTCCGTTCATTCAGACATTCTCAGGTTGTCGCTGCTCTTCCGCGGCGAGATGAAACGTGACCGCAATCGGAGAAGCTAGAGAGAGCATTAACTGGCCGCAATTATCTCAACGGTTTTTGGATAGGAAAGATTTATTTTCCCATAGAAACGTTTTTGAGTGGTTTTTCCGTTTTGTAAGATTGGTGTGGTTGCAATAATGCTCACCATGATAACTGTCTTGAATATTTGCTGTTTTTTCTTACTGGAAACGTCGGCGCTACTGCTAAGTCAATATGTGTTCTACCACGCTTCATTTCTCGTTATAATGTCGGTCTTTTATTATCGGCATTGTTCGCCTACGGAAAGTTAATGAGTTTCAAACATTTTCGCGCCATTGCGATGTTCTGACTTGTTGACGCTATTTCACATGTTACAGGTGAGTGGCGTAATGAAAGTGTCATATTATAAATTGCAAGCAGCTCTGAAATAAAATGAAAGAGGAATTGCTGGGCCATTTAAGGAAAAAGTTCTGTTAATGTAAAAAAGGTTTCGACCAACTATTAGTTTTGCTCCACAAGCATTTCTAGTATAAGCCATCCCATGTTCGCTTCTGCGACTATTAAAAGAGCTTTACATTTTCTAATATATCGCAAGCACACACACATAAACAAACAAGACACACCAAGAAGTCACACACACACAAGGCACACACACACACACACGAGGCGACACACACACACGCACACACACACACACACACACACACACAGCACAGCACACACAGCAGCACGCACGCACCGAACGCATCACACAACACATGGACATACCAACAAAGGTGTATATATATTGAATAACATGAATTACTATTGTCATAGCTAGGTACATGATTGTGTCATACTGGTATATCGTCGGACTATCCTACATATATTAAGTAAGTGTATGAATAGTAGTGTACTACTACTATACATGTATGAATTATGTTACATACATACATATCATAATGACATGAGTATAGTATATAAGAAAGTAATACATACTGAAGTGAGGTATGATATACTATATAATATATATATATTCTTATATATATATATACACTATCAGGAGTGGTCAACATTTTGCTGAGCAGATGATCTACTTTTTATATAGTTACCGCTAATGGGATCCTACCCCCAGCCCCTTAAAACAGGCTTGTGACTCGAACGATTGGCCCCCCTGATCATAATTTGTATATAATAGTAGTATATATATATATATATATATATATAGCACCCTACTATACTCATATGCTATATACGAGTTAATAACACACAAGGACGTATACGTGGTTGTCTTTACGCCAACTAATTCGTACCTGCCTCTCACGCCACATGTACATCATATTAATAATATAAATATCAACTTATTCCCCTTTAAAAACAAGAGAACATATAATAATCAACATATCGGTGCTACAATACTATGGTAGTGCACTTGCCAGGCTTTTTGCATGAAAGCTTCTGAAAAGGACGAAATTAAAAGGTACAGGGCGTAGTGGTGATCGACGTAAACCAGAAGTGATCCGACCAGTCGAATCGCGATCGTAACCATGTTTTTGAGCAACCTTGATATATATGTATACATATATATACATATGTATATATAATTACATATACTTTATTATAAATATATTATTACCAGGGAGTAGAGTATATACTAGAAGGTATAGGTATATAGCATATGTACAATGTATATAAATATATATACTATATATATTATATAGTATATACATAAAAATACATATATAT